ACGCTCTTCCGATAGACAGAGACAGACAGAGACAGACAGAGACAGACAGAGACAGACAGAGACAGACAGAGACAGACAGAGACAGACAGAGACAGACAGAGACAGACAGAGACAGACAGAGACGGAGAGTCGTCGTCTGGCAATTCACTTGCCGATGGTTCCAAGACCGTCTCGCTCCTGCCCCTCTTTGTTGGGCCTCGGCCTCAGCCTGGGTGCCGTCAGCCAGCGCTCCCAAAGAGAGCAAAGAGAGCCTGCTGCGACTCGGCGGGGGCTTGGCACTGTCAGTGCCGCCTCTGTGCTCGTGCCTCCGCCTCTCTGCTCCCTCAACGGAGCACGTCCGGGCATGGCATGGCATGGCATGGCATAGTTGCTCCCCCGCGCCGGGAATCTCCAACTGACCGGCATGGGCTGCTCGAAGGTCTCTGGCGACCATCGCCCGGAAGAGGTCCGGTGAGTCGGGAGACCCTTGGCGTATGCCGTTGGTCTGCGGGATGGTGGACGGCAGGCTGCCACCAGTTCGCTCATGCTATGTTGCCATATGCTGTCGAACGCCTTACGGATGTCTAGTTTGACAATCCAGGTCGCCTGTGTAACTCTCCGTAGACAAGCGCATCCTCTTCCCGCAGCCTTCGTGTCCCAGCAGTGTCCGCGCTGCCTCATGCGATATGCCGTCTGGTCCTGTGCTTTTGTTGCGTGCCCACTTGTGGCTGGTGTGAACAAGCTCCTCCACAGTGAAGGGGTGCCAGGAGTGGCAAATGCCACCCCTTGTGCGAATTGGTTTGCTGCAAGCTTCGGACGGAGCGTGCTGTCTGCCAATGCTTGTTTCCAAATCCTGTGCTCCTGCTTCCTTTGCCGCGCGACTTCCAAGATCGCCTGGCCTCTGGTCCTGCTGCCGCACCTGCCGCTTTCCGTGCTGCTTGTCTCATCCGCAACAGGGTTTGGCTTTCCTTGAAGCAGTCGCTTCCTTTTGCCGGGCACGGTGATGGCCGAGGGTGGCAAGGATCAGGTGGGGGATGAGCACCCCGTCGTGGTCGGGAGCTGGTCGGTCACGGCATGGTATGACCTGCCGACGTGCCATGTAGTCAATGTAGTCAAGCCGTCTGTCAACAAAGGTTGCTTCAGGATGTATGCTGCTTGAATCGCTGGAGAAACCAGCAACCGAAGTTCCTCCCAAGCTGCATCGCTGTTCCATTCAGCTGAGACACGACATGGCGATGACACGGCTGTCGGGGTGGCGCCGTGGCTTGGGGGGAGCAACCAGAAGACAGTGAGGAAGTGGATGCGACTCTACCTGGCATGCTATGAGCCCGACGGTGAGGGGGGATGCAGCCCCTCGAAGTCCTGCACAATGAGCCCGAGCACATGCTGCCACAGCGAAACATGTATGCAAAGAAAAGTTGGAAACATGGACTGCACTTGAGCTGCCAGCATATTAGCAGAGGGCTCTTCAAGCACAACATTACGTAGACGAAACATGAACTGCACGTGAGCTGCCAGAACATTTTATTTGCAGGAGTGAAGCATGCTCTCTCCACGTGTGAGGCCTGTGTGAGGTGACGGTTTCGCCAGGCAAACCGCAGCCACCCTCATCCCGTTCTTTGCGCTGTTGCTTCCCCGTCTTGCGTCAGCTGGCTTTTGGTTGTAGAGTATAGAGTTCGCAGGTCAGAGCCGCAGCCCGTCCATGCAGCTCTTGTCTGGGTTGAGAGCTTCGCAAACTGATCTACGCTCATTTATGTAGAAACATAGTAACATAGGCATTGCTGGTGCATTGCTGGTAACAAGTTTGGTGTGTGGGCGAACTGGTTGCTGGTCGCAAGTTTGGCATGTGAAGATGTTCGAAGCAGGCGCGCAAGTGGACAGTGCCCCGATGTTTTTCAGAGTTTCTGAGAGTATTTTGAAGATTTCTGGCGTTCATCCTTCTGGCCACCGAGCCACCGAGCTTTGGATATGAAGTTGGAACCTCGCGACTGGCACTATGCCGGTCACACACACTTGGAATGACCCGCAGTACTCGATTTAGCCGGCTCTATAACATGAATCGTCCTTGCGAGTTCTTCGCGAGCGCCCGCGAGACGCGGCTCACCGGGGTGAGGACCAAGCGGATTGGCTTCACGAGAAGGCGCCGGAGCGAGGGAGTCCAGGGAGTCCAGAGTCCAGCATCGCCTCTCAAAGCCCAGGCCAGGGCGGCCAGGGTGAAGGACGAGCCGGAGTTGGAGGCGCCTGGGCCTGCATAGCGGCATAGCCCGGCATAGCTGTCTCGCGCAACTTTGTAGATGACCTTGGTGTTGAGGAGAAGACGGAGAACACCAAACTGCCCAGTGTGGGCAGCCAGTTCCATCCCGATCGATGCACGCCGTTGCGACCTCACGAGATTCACAACGCAGCAGCTCTAATAAACATCCATGTCAGACAGCCGTGCAACATGTACAGCGCGAGTCACAAGCAGTGGGATGTCGTCGGTCAGGTCTTCGACATGCGCAACTCGCGCCGTACGTTAGTGAAGTGTTGCAGCTCTCGTGAGGTCGCAGGTCTGAACTTTGCAAGGTAGAAAAGCCGCCTGTCCAAAAATCTCGTGGCGATGCTACTGCTTCTGCTCGAAGTAGGAACATCCAGACCATGGGAACTTGGTTTCCTTCGGCAGAGGATGGCGCAGGAAGAATCGTCGAGGTCGCAGACGACATGAGGCCCAAAACGAAGAAGAGGAGAGATTGTGGCACTTGCGACTCCACAGCACCAGAGACCTTCAGAGATTTGGGGTCCAGGAGAGGTGGAGAGGTGCGGTTCTCGAAGAGTCGAAACGGGGAAATGGAGCCACTGGGCCCAGGCCCGGGCAACAGAGGTGAAAGTCCTCAAGCACGTGCCCACGGAAGCGCGCACTGCGGCACTGCGCTTCCATGGGAACCGGTACACACCGTCAGCGCGACAATATGTCTTCAACTGTGAACATCCAAGAACTTGGAGACCTTGAGTCCGGCCGGCCAGGCGAGCAAACAGGACAGCAGTTTCAGGATCTCGTGCACGGCACGGTGACAGCAGCTAGATTCTTAGCACGGAACACCATCACCCCTGAAATGCGTTTAGCAGGCTGTGCAAAACGGAAAGAGTCAAGGCGTTGAAGGATGAAGAAATCCAAGGCGAAAGACTGTGCGAGAAACTTTGAGTGGCGCCAGCGGTGCAACGAGCACCCGGGAGAAACGGGTTTTCGCAAAGACAAACCGCCCTCTCGGCCTCTCGGCCTCTCCTGGCTGCGGCTTTCTCGCCCTCCGGACAAGTCGGCATGAGCACGAACACGAGCGTCACGAGCCAAGACGAGCCCAAGGCTGGTTCTGTTTTCCCTGCTGCGAGGTGCTCCTTCCACTGTTACTCTCTGCGCGGGTGCCTGCATGGAGAGGCTCCGGTCCACGGAGTCCACGGAGTCCACGGAGTCCACGGAGTCCACACTCACAGCGTCTGTTAAAAGGCCTGCGAATTCTGCCACTTGGAGCATCTTCGTCGGCCCAAGCCGAAGAAGCGAGGTGGGGGGGCCCAGGCAAGGCCCAGGGCCGGGAGATGCCCTTTGACACTGGCTCTCTGAGATGCAGCGCCGCGCTTCCCAAAGTGGTCCAAAGGGCAGCAGAAAGCGAGTTGTAGGCATTGGCATGAAAGCATTTGGCTCCCATGAACTTTGCAGCGCATACCTGCTTTGCACACCATGAGTGACCGTGCTCTCCAATTCTGAGCCGATGGACCGACGAACCCTTCTCGAGGCGACGCCGGCGGAGCGCCGGAGAGTTCCGTCCTCACACGCGATCGCGTATCGGCCACGGCCCTCAGGCGCTCCACTTGAGCCACCAAGCGCAGATCGAGCAGCTGGAGTGTGGGACCTGTGAAGGATGGCATTGCTCTCGCTTGAAAGTTCTCTGTGCAGCCCGAGGCGTTGGAATGGGTACCTGGAGGGCTTGCGGCACGCGCCAGCCTCAGCGGAGCTTTGCAGCGAGCCTGCTGGTGCCATGCCCGTGGGCGCGTTCCAGGCCTTGCTTTCGAAGCCGAAACCGAGTGGACCTGCCCAAGCGACGGTTCTCGGCAAAGAGAACGTCAAGGCTGGCGCTGGCTGAGGGCGGCGCTGAGCGGCTGGGATGGGGGTCTCTGACTTTCGGCCCAGGAGCCGAAGAAGCGCGAGCCGGGAAGGCAGCCACAGCGCGAGGCGCGGGAGCCCTTGCAGCCCAGGCCGGGCGAAAAGGCGGCGAGAAAGGCGTGGTGCAGTTGTGTTTCAGTGCCTTGTCAGGCAGTTGAGCCCTTGGTCGAGGTCCAAGGCCTTTCTGAAAAGGCAAGTGATTCGAACAAAATGAGACCTGGCTTCAGGTGGATCGCTTCTCCGGCTTTGGATCGCTGTACCACAGGTGAGGCCGGTGAGGCTGAAATAGTCTGCCCCCGTGCGCCGCGCGCCCCGGGGCGCTCTCAAGCCAATGTCGATGTCGAACGCCGCTCGAGCGAGACAAAAAGGCGAACGAGCGCGAACTGGCCTTTTATAGGGGGGCCTCCTTTTGGGCCTGTTTGTAGCGGGGAGCGAGCTGAGGCAGGAAGAAGCCCGAGGAGGCGCAAGCCCCCTTCGACTGAGAGCCGTCTCTTGGTAAAGGTTTCACAGCCGGCGCCCTCCGCGGCTTCCCCTGCGCCAGCGCCGTTTCAGGGCGAGTGCCCATGTTCCCAAGTCCGAGAGGTCTTTTGTCTCTCCGGTTTCTCATTGCGAGATCGGGAGCTCGTTCCTGCACTTCCTTGCGGAGGTGTCTGCTGGAGGCTCGGAAGGTCGCGAATTGATAACTCAGCTGAGGAGCCAGCCTCAGAGATCTGCGTCTTCCGCAGCTCCGCAAAAGTTCCGCCCCTGCAAGGGGGGCATATGGACAGCAAAAAAGATGCATCAGCATGGGGGGCGGACGGAGGAGAGGTGAGGAGAGCGCAGCGAGAGATGCCAACTTGCCAAGCCTGCCAAGCCTGCCAAGCTGAAGCTCTTGTGCGCCCGTTGCTCAAAAGAGGCAAGATCTAGTGCTTTGCATTCGTTGGCCGCTACTCAATGCCGGTGGTTCAGCCCTCGGGAAGCCGAAACAAAAAGTCGCTGCTCTGTGGCGACACCTGGGCGACAGCTGGGCCAGGTGGAAGATGGCGCATCTCGGACTCAAAGCCCGGTTCTCGGATCCGCTGCGGCCGGCACCGCTTGTGCGAAACGGCGAAACGGAGGTGTCCAGGACCAGGTCCAGGGGGCCATGGCCGTGATGCAGGCGGGCTAAGACCAGAAAGTGCCCCCCTTTCTTGCTGCCTGGAGTCACTTAGGACAACATGCGGGCAATGGCCGAGAGGGACTCACAGCTGAATCAGCTGGAGGCTGCTGCGGCTGTGGCATGCTGTGGCTGGGATGCGAACCGTTTCCCCTTTCCGAAGGCAAGGACCAATGACTTGCAAGGGGCTTCGAAAGCCTTCAGCTCTGGAGCGAAGCCGCTGCCTCGACTGAGCCACGCTTCGAGTCGCGTCCTCTTAAGACGCATCCATGGGAGGCGCCTTCAGAGGCACTACCAGTGGCAAAGGCGAGCCGCTCGACGGGCCACATCTCGGGTGCCTTGGCCCACGGCATGCGAGGTACAAGTTCTATTTTGCAATCGGGGCCGTCGTGGTGCTGGCCGCTGACTTGGGTCATTTGAGATGAGCTTGTTGGCGCTCCGGTGTGTCTTATTGTGAGCCTTGGGCACACAGTTCCAGCATGGCAGGTGGTGGCACTCATCTTGTTGCCCTCCCAGTACAAAGTGCCCAGAACCCGAATGCTGTGTGTGTGTGTGTGTGTTGTGTGTGTGTCGTGTTCGCATGCATGTGTTGCGTGTTTGTTGCGAAGAGGAGTTTGTGACGATTTGGTACTGAGTTGTTCAACTCGTTGCCAGAGGAAGGTATCCAGCAGGCGGTAGAGCTGTCTTTTCGCGGTACTTCCAGAATCGAGCGTGCGAGCGTTTCGGAGCGTGGTGATGCGGCAGATTTTAGCAGGACGTGAAACAGCTTGTCCTTCCTTTGCGCCAAACTCACCATCATGGGCCGATGATACGGTGTTCCTTTATTGGGAATCAAACAAGTCCTGCACTGTGCGATTTGCCCGTCAGTGTTGAGGAAGCTACGTGGCCTGCAAGCTTTGATGCTGCAAAAAACGTCCTGGAACGCGGTGTGTTGGTTTGGGAGGTACGTGGACAACCGTTTCCTGGTGTTTCCAAAAGGTTCCCCCAGAGTGATGCATTTTTGTCTGTGGTGATCCCGATGTTCTATCGTGTCCTCAATGCATGCGATGCTGGTGATTTGTTGGGGTGCTTGAAGCTGGAATACTGGTGTTTCGCATTCCTTATGGAACGTGGCAGTATCGATCTCGGAGGTTGAACTCGGCAGATTTCGATCGCGGTCATGCCTCATCAAGCGGCAATTTTTCCAAAGTGTGTTGATAGAAGACGAAGGAGTTAACAGACCTGTACACGTGTTTCGGTTTCACTCGCGACGATCTCCAGCATGCATGAATGAGTAAGATTTCCGGCTCATGTAGCTTTTGCGTGTTGCAAACCCTGATGCGAACGGAGGGTACTACATAATCCGATCGTCGTCGCGTTGTGTACTGCCGAAAGCATCAAAAAAGTGTTCGTCCGCAGGAGGGGCAGCACGTGAGGGAAGGATGGCACAGGTGCCAATGAAGACACCCATCCCGACCTCCTACTTCCCTGCGTATGTTATTGAGTTTCGGACGTTATGTTTCCCGATTTCTATGTCAGCTTGACTCCAACTCAAGCAAGTGTGTGCGTGTGTCTCCGTCCGTGTGTGTGTGTGTGCGAACAGGATCAGTAGTACTGAATTGCTTCTTCCCTCTATGCTACGAGTCACCCACAGGAACACTAACAAGATCCTGTTTGCAAGGGAAGTTTTAGCGACAAGCAGGGGCGTTACTACCTGACGGGACGAAGTGGTATGGGGGAAACAGTTGGCCGGTGTGCAGCAAAGGGGTGAGTCTGAGTCTGAGTCTGAGGCCCTTCTTTGCGGTGTCTGCGGTGTTCTTGGGGGCCTTGGCCCTGATCCAAGCGCCCCGGACCGGACAGTCGGAGTCGCGGGGAACCGAGCGGCACTGCGCGCCTCCGCTGCGCGCCGCAAGCGAGGCCGCAATGGCTTCGACGCGGGAGCCGCAAGCAGAGCAAAGCGAGGACGCGCAGGTGGAGCCGAAGACCCAGCGGGACTGACTGACTGCGAAACGGTGTTGCGATAGCGACTGCTGCACGGCCGAGCACGGCCGAGCCAAGGCTTGGAGAGTCGCTGACCCGTGATGGCATGGAGTGATTGCGGTTCGCGGCCCCGCGGCTTGAACCGGACCTGTCTCACCAACGGCAAGAAGCGCCCTTCAGGATCCAAAAGAAGCCTCTCTCATCAGGCCTCAGCCCAAAGCGCGAGGACAGTGCGGACATGCCGCAGCTCATCAGCTCATCCCGAATCAGACCCGCAATCACTGCAACAAAAGTTTCTGCAGCTCCAAATATCCTCTTCATCATCGTGTGCAGGCGAGCAGCATGATGCAGTAGGTTCTGGGGCCCAAATGAAAGTGACTTTACGGCTAGGTTTAGGTCCCTGGCCATGAGTTCCGGCACGTCACACATAGCGTCACAAGCTGAAGTTGGGCCAGCTACTTTGCACGAAGAGGATCTACGGCGGGCTGGCATACTACTATCGACACCGGAGATAGATGGGCATGAAGCCTCCTGGCCTGTGTCACCGCCTCGGAGGCACACGGCAGCCAAGTCCTCGCCAAAGAGACCTCAGCTAGTGGCTTTGGCAGAGACGCAGGAGGCTACGACCGAGGAGCTCGCATATCAAGAATTTGTTATCTCTGTATAGAGTTTAGATTCTGCATGAATTGACTGCTTATGTCCCAAGAGCGTTTGCATGCATTCACGTCTCGCCGAGTCGCCTGACAGCTTCTGCGAACTCCGCTACGGACTCGCCTGCCAGCTGCTACGAAAAGTGTATGAGTTTGCATGCAATCCTGAGACTTGCTTGGCTTTGCTACCCTAAACCCTAAACCGTGGATCCATCCCTGTCTCGAAGGCCCTGAGAGCCAAGGAGTACGAATCAGAGGTCAATGCAGACACGCTATCACCGCTACCATGGCTTACGGCACCTTCTGTTCTATCGCCAAAGCGGCCCTAGCGAAGCATGCCATACTGATGTAGCCTCTTGCCAGCCAACAAGCACGTGAGCCCCAGCTGCCGCTATGGAGTGAAGAAGCCTTGCAGGCAGCCCGGCCATGTGATGTCCGGTGGTAATGGAGTGGAGAGCGAACGAATCGTGAACGAATCAAGTGTATCAAGCGGATGGCACGTATACATAGCAGTCCGGAAGTTCGCACCAGGATCATGCACAACGATTAACAGTGACATACAGATATACAGTGGTTTGCTTTCGCCTCGCTCAACAGGGGTGGTCATGTGCGCCATCATGCACGCGTATTCCCAGCGACGTCATCACAACAAGCAGTCGCCAAGAGCACTCAAAGAGACGGAGCAGTTCGTATCGCAATCGGAGCGTGCCGCACTGCCGCGCCCGCTCTGCCGCGCCGAGGCAGTGATGCAAGCCTGGGCACCGCGAGCGCCCAAAGGGCCCTGCATCGGGCCTCAAGGGCACTGCCCTCCTGGGCCCATGGGCCCCATGGGCCCCATGGGCCCCATGGGCCCCATCACGGCCATCGGTCTTGGTCTTGGCCAGACGCCAAGTGCAGAGCCTTAGAGCCTTGCGCGGCTTTGTGTTTTTGCCTGTCCTCTCGGGCCATGTCCAGGGCCTGCAATTCCTGCCGTGCCTGCGCCTGGCGCATGGGCTGGAGGCCATCGTGTCACATCACGACGAATTGCACCTACGGACTGGTAGACTTCACCGACGATATAGAATATCATCGCACCCTAAGATGGCCCACGGCCCCAGGCAGGTTGTCGCATTTCCGCGTTTGCAAGTCGCTCAGTGTTGCCATGCTACTTTGGCTCGCGAGAGCGCAGGTGCGCTGCGCTCGCAGATGGTGCAGCTTCCTGGCTGAACTCGTGGATGCTCGTGGTGTTTTGAAGCTGAGATCCGCCGAGATCTGAGGCCCAAGGCCAGGGCCTCCGACTCTCCCACCGTGCATGCCGCAGTCGATGTCGGATGATGCCGGCGCAGTGAGGCGGCGCCACCGGGTTTTGGGCCAGCGTGTCCATTCTGTGGCAACATCTATGCCCGGGACTCGGACTCTCTTTGGCTTTGCCTGAGATTTCGGGGAGAGTGAGGCACCGGACGCTCGGTTCTGCCGCAAATGCGGTCAGCCCAGAGCAGAGGCTCGGGGGCGGGCTCGGGCGGGCTCGGGCGGGCTGTGGTCGAAGCGTTGACGCGCCTCTGCCGTGCCTTTTAACCGTCAGTCAGGTGAAAGCCTCGGTGCCGCCTCCAGTGCCTGGCCATGGCCTCAGCCCTCAGCGTGCCAAAGGAAAGCCTGCGCTGTGCGCTGCGTGGCCTTCGAGGCTTCCAAGGCCAAAGGGAGGCGCGCTGCTCCTTCCCGCTCGTCTTGCGACACGGACGCGGTGTGACGTGATGGGGGCAGAGGTGGGCCTTCGCCGCTTTCCTTCTGCTCCCAATGTTCAGGCCCGGGTTTGTGCGAGTCCATCCTTGGTCCTTCGTCTCTCTGTTCTCAGGCCTGCGGCCTCTCCTTCACGCCCTCGCCGGTGTCCGCTCAGCGCGGTGTTTCAGCAGCAAGGATTTTCTGAGCTCCGAGGCGGCCATGTGCTCCAACAGGAGGCGCGCTCTGCTGTCGACTAGTTTCTTGGAGCTTTTGCGCTGGCAGGGAGCATGTGGTGAGGGAGGCGTCTGCACCTGCACCGCAGGCACCGCAGGCACAGGGGACTCTGCGAGTGTTCTCCTACCCTGCCACGGCGCAGACTTCTCTGAAGCCCCTAGGCCCAGGCCAGCGCTGGTCCCTTTCTGGGCGCCCTGCTCCCCCTGCCAGCAGTGCCGCAGGCGCCGGCGCCAAAAAGCTCATTCGTACAAAACACAACACACCGCTCCCTGTTCTGGCTTTTGCTTTGTTTACATTCATAGTTTATATTTTCTATGGCCGAGGTGAAGGAAATCGTGGAGGTCGCCTCGACTGCAGCCACCACGCAGCCTGAGGACGCAACAGCCACGTGGGCCGGAACGAGCCATGCAAAGTGCGGCGCATCCGCGACAGCACCTTAAATACATAGATGACCATAGCGCATAGCCATAGATGCTATACAGGATCTGCGCCCCCTTTGGGGCATGTTCGAGCACATGTCAGCTGCCCCAGCTCCAGGATAGGTGCCTTTCCTGATCGAAGCTGCTGATTAGACACGCTCTTTTCTGCTGTTATTGCTGCGAACAGATAATCCCTTCCCCCTAACATTAAACCCCCCTAATACAAAAACCTCCCGGCCCCGGGATTTCGCGGTTTCGGGCCTCTCGGAGGATCCAATGAAGCAGTTTCAAGTGGTCGGAACCCCGGGAAGGGAAGTCTGCTGTCGATTCGCCGACACATGCTGTTGAAGGTGATACGAGAGAAGCCTATTTCACAGCAAGTCGAGAAAGTAGTGGAGGTGGAGCGGGGCGCATGGTGGAGCAGAGCTGCAAGAATCAGAATCTGCCACCGGCACCGGCGCCAGGTTCCTCATGTGTCGGTATCTGACAACACCATTGAGGCAGGCAAATGAGGGATTCCAGCGTGTTTCCGCGTTTGGAAGTACTTGCAGGTGCCTGTCTCGCTGGTACAAGAAAAAGTGGTGGAGGTCCATATCCATAGCGGCGCGGTTGCAGAGCAGCGCTGTTTTGCGCAGAGGTACCCGAAGTGCAGTATGTGGAGCTCTTGAAGCAGGTGCCGAAGGCGGGCCCTGAAGGACAGCAGCTTCGACCTTTCCCTACGTCGCAGCGCAGGTGCAATACCAAGAAAGGCTCCTGCAGGTTCGTGCAAGAGAGGGAGAAAGTTTGTTTGAGGGTTGCTCTAGCCCGATGATGTATCCGTTATCTCAGGCAAGTTGCATCTTCCTTGCCAAGCGTTGTTTTTCTTGTCAACGGGGTGCGCGCAATCGCGCTCAAGGGCGGAGGGGCGCAATTCGCAGGTGGAGAAGTTGGTGGCCGAGGCCAGGACTGTGGAGGTGGAGGTTCCCGTGGAAGTCCAACAGGCCAGGGCGGAGCCAGGGCGGCGTCGGATCCATGGCCCCGCACATGGCACTAGGAGCGGCTGGTGGAGGTGAGCCAGGCTCAGCCGCTGGAAATCTGGCGCGAGGTGGGAAAGGGACCCGCTCGGCCGCAGTCGGCTTTTGCGGAGCTCTCAAGCTCTTTGAGAAATTTCGCGAGGTGGCGAAGGTGCAAAGACAGTCTCTTGCTCCTCAGCTCGCAGATGTCCATTTAGCGGAAGGGAGAGTCTCGGAGTCTAGGCCTTGTAACTCTAGGCTTAAGCCACTCAGGCCAAGCATTTCGCAAAGCCCGTGGTGCAGTGGAAGGAAAGCCTGCGTGAGGCCAGCAGCGCAGGGTCCTACTTAACGGCCACAAAAACGCGACCGCGGCGCCCACCGCGCCCGACCGCTCCGCGGCGTCGCTCCGCGTCGCTCCGGTTTCGATTGGGCAGGTCCCGCAGACCACCGTCCGGGAGCAGATCCAGGAGGCGCGAGAAGGGCCTCCCCGCCCGCATCTGCCCGCATGCCTTTGGCCAGAGCGGCAGCCAGAGAAGGAAAGGCGTCACACAGGTGCACACGCTTGCGATACGATATGCGAAGCCCCGTCGGGGCCAGGCAAAGGCCCAAGTATTTCAACATCAGAGCTTTTCTTAATGGCCTGTGCTTCAGTGTCGGTCTCCATGTCCATGGTGGTCATGCTGGAGTCGTCGAGCTAGGGCAGCCAGGATGGGCCATTTTTGGCCACACCGTGGCCACACTGAACAACAAAATCCCGACTTGTCCGTCTGCAAGCGGCTGATGGGCCGCGGAAGTCGTGTTTCTCCAGAGCTTGTGATCCAATGCTGCTTCGACGGCCGTCTGTGCGGAGTGGCTCGCTCAAGTCAGCTGATCGGTGAGCCGTTGAGCTCTTGAACCTTGGAAGCTTTGGCACACGTCCAAGCTCTTTGCCAGCGACGTATAGGAGTGGTGTCCCGAATGAAATCTTTCGAACTAGACAGTTTGGGAGATTGAAGGTTTGAAGCTTGATTCAACCCTTAGGCTTGCAAGGTGCAGAAGTTCGAAAAGTTCGTGCACCTTTATACAGTAGAAGCCCAAAGGTTGGAAACCTTAAGTAGTGTATAAGGAATCCCAGCACTATTTGTCCTTCATCCGGTTTCCAACTTTTTGGGGTTTACTATATGCGCAAGCGAGCGGGCATCACACTTCGAGCTGTCAAGCTCGAAACTTTGGAACTCTCAAACTTTCCTGCCTTCGAGCTCCACTCGCTGCTTCGAGCTCAATCTCCAAACTTGAGGCTCGGGCGAGGTTTCAGATTTTGAAACTTTGCAGGTTCGACCTGACTTATTCGGCTGGCCTGGCGAATGACGTGATTCGGTTGACATCAGCAAATTGATCACAAACTGGCTGTTCTGCGGACATTTTGGAGAACATGTAAACAGACTTCATCCCGTGGTGCACCAAAAGCGCAAATTGCATAGTCGCATGGAGACTCCGGGAGTCTGAAACAGCACTTGCAGTCCATGCCGTTCCTTGGACGGACAACCTTGATCATCACCACGGCTGTTACAACACCTCTTGTCCACAGAATCTCAGAATCTGGCTTTCCAGTCCAAATCAACAGCAATCGGCCGTGTGACGTCACGCCGGCGATTTGATTCTTGAAGCGGGTTGGAAAAGGTATCAGTGCCTCACCACAACTGGCTTTGTGCAGACAGACATGCAGACATGCAGAGAGACATGCAGACAGACATGCAGACAGACATGCAGACATGCAAACAGACATGCAGAGAGACATGCAGACAGACATGCAAACAGACATGCAGACAGACATGCAGACATGCAGACCGACATGCAGACAGACATGCAGACAGACATGCAGACATGCAGACCGACATGCAGACATGCAGACATGCAGACAGACATGCAGACATGCAGACAGACATGCAGACATGCAGACATGCAGACATGCAGACATGCAGACAGACATGCAAACAGACATGCAGACAGACATGCAGACAGACAGGCAGACAGGCAGACAGACATGCAGACATGCAGACTTTTCGCAAAGTGGGGATTCTCAGGATCCACAGTTGTAAAGTGGGGATTCTCACATCGAAAACAGTGTCTGTGGTTGTAAAGTGGGGATTCTGGTTGTAACGTGGGGATTCTGGTTGTGAAGCGGGTTAATCTCCCCCTCACCCCCCTCCCCAAGCCCCAAACCTGAAAAGCTGCAAAGCCCCAAACCTGAAAGCCTGCAAAAAACCCGCGATTCCCGTGCAAAAGGTCAGGCTCCAAACTCACGTATGCTTTCGTTTTTCCTTCAAATATTCGAGTTCGACTTGAAGACCCTATTCGTGACATCAAAATACAATTAACGAAGTACCATGAAGCTGAGTGTACTGTGGAAAAGCACGCGCATGAAAGGGGTCTCTTTGTTCGACAACGGTTACAGTGACCTCGCAGGGTTTCTAGATTCCGAGTCGGCGGGAAGGTGCCAACAGCCAGGATCGTGGAGCTTCTGCGCGAGGCGGAACCGCCATGCCGCGACTCCTCGCAGGCGCTTGCGACGCGGCTACGCGGCTGCGGCCAGGTCCCAAAGCCGGAGATTCAGAAAGTGGAGAAGCCAGCAGCCTGCTTAAGCTGCGGGCAAGGCCAGGCTCAGCAGATCTTTTGCCGAATGGAATTGAGGTCGAAGTTCCATCAATCCAGCTGACCGAAAGGCCGGAAAAGGCTTAACAGTTTAACCTTCACTGCCCATCACTCTTCAAGCCTGACAGCACAAGACCGTTTTAGAGGGTGGACATGAGCTTATTGATGTTTGGGCTTGTCCTCCAAAGCCACGAGCTGAAGCAAAGTCCATGTAGCCTTGTAGCCGAGCCCTAGTCGAGTGTAAAGAAGGAGCTGCCTCTCGGGCCTCCGCGACCATGCCCCGTGAGGGGACTTCGGATCTTCTGCGTACCTCCAATCGGGAATGTCAAAGTGCTTCGGCCTTTACGCCTGCGCAGAGTCATCTAGTCTATACGGACTCAGCAAGAACGCGAAGAGCGCGAAGAGCCGCTGCCGCCCTGCCGGCAGGATCGTCGAAGTGCCGAGCGTGGAGGTCCGGGAGACGGCCAGCGAGGCGCGGCCCCGCGGCCGCGGCCGCAAGAGCGAAGCTCACGCTGCCGACAGCGCAACGGCACGCGCAAGCAGTGCCAGCTGTGCCTTGCAGGTCGCGGCGCGTGTGGAAGTGCGGGAGGTGGTGAGGCAGGTTCCCAAAGTCGAGGCCGGGAGCGGGCTGCCCGGCGCCCTTTCTGGGGCGTTCCGCTGCGGCTCGTCTCTCTGCGTTCTTTGCACGGAGGTACAGTTCGTCGAGAAGAAGATCCCCAAACCCGTCATTCAATATGCTGCTCAGACGCACGAGTCCCCATAATGCCGTAATGACGAAATGCTTTTGAGCATGCTGGGAAAGCTCCGGCAAGGTGGAGAAGACGGTTGAAGTACCACATGTGGCGCCAGTCTGAATGTCCAAAAATGTCCAAAGTGCCAATCGCTGTTTCGAAGCGCTGCGAATCGCTCGAAATGTCCCCAGGTGTACGAAGAGCGGATCGTGGAGGTCCCTGAGATCGAAGTCAAGGCTCCGAGCCGTGCTCAGATTCAGAACGGATACCGCCTTTAAAGACTTTAAGGGAGGGATGTTTCAGTGCAGATTCCCTTATAATTTCACTTGTCCTCGGATTCGGCGTTGTGAGACGTGAGACTTGGCCGCCGAAGAGGGTTCCGTCCCACTGCAGGAGCTCATTCGGCAGGTGCCCGTGCCCGTGATCCAGTACGTGGACCGCCAGCCAGTCATGAGTTTTTCTTTGTTCCGATGCATTGACTTCTTTTCCTCCGGCAGGTAAGAGTACACGTGTAAGCGTGTAAAGGGACACAGATACCGCCTGTTGCAAACCCATTCAGAATTGAACTGGCGACTGAAGACTTGCGGGAGACAGCACTTCTGAAAGCAGGGATGAGCAAAGGGCGAGCTGTCCGCTTTCGGAGACAGTCCGGCCTTGAACCGGGGTTTGCTCCGGCGGCGCTGCGGCGCTGCGGCGCTGCGGCACTGCGGCACTGCGGCGCTGCGGTCCCTCCGACGGAGAAGGAGACGGCGTGCAGCTTTTTCACAGCTTCGAGTCGAGGAGAAGCGGGTGCCGAAGTGTTCCTTGCGGCTTTTGGAGAAGCTCCATGAGGCCCACGGCCCACGGCCCACGGCCCCTTCGCTTCGCACGGAAAGAGCTCTACTGTAGCGGCTCTCGCTCATCAGGTGCCCCAAGCCTTCCAGGAGGCCACACGAGGCCGCAGCCGCCAGCGCGACTCCCACTCGTTGTCAGGAGCGAGCAGTCGAAGTCCAACAGGCCTTAACCTTTCTCGTCGGAGGGGTTCTCCCACAGCGCCTCGTCGAGGCAATTGGAGTCGATCTGGAGGTGCATGTGCCGAAGGCACAGGGCCACTTGCACGTTCGAGGCTCGAGTTTCCCAGCCTCGCCGAGGTCAGCTACACGGAAGTTGAGAAAGAGTTTGCTGCGGTGACGCTCCAGCCACGCGAGAAGGCCCCCCCTTTTCCGGTCCTGAAGCTCAGCAGACTGCAGTATGCTCTTTCCTTCTTGGAGGTGGTGGAGGTGCCCGTGATTCTCCGGGAAGAGCGTTTGGTGGAGGTGCCAAAGGTGCAAACTGTCCCAGTGGCCGGCAGCCTCAACAAACTGCACAGTGGCACAGAGTCCACTCGACATGGCCGCCCAGGTCACACAGCATCTGAGCCCAGCTGTGGAGGCAGCACCCCTTGGCCGCCTTGTCCATCTTGAGTGTCTTCCCGCGCTGAGTTCGTTGACAAGCCCGTTGCCGTAGCGGAGATCTCCTTAAAGGAGCGGCAGGTGCAGGCCGGGCACAGCCAACGGGCACAGAGCCGAGGCTAGCCTAGCCGCTACTAGCATTGCCAAGTGACATATCATCTTCACGCACAAAGTCCGGAGTCTGCAGGGAGCCTGCCCTCTGCAGGCTCAGCCCACGGTGCTGATCGAGGAGGAGCTTCTGGAGATCCCGCAGCAGCAGCTGGTGGAGGTGACGCGCCAGGAGCGGGGCCAAACAGGGGGCCAAAGAGGGGGCCAAAGAGGGGGGCAAAGAGGGCGGGGGCGGATCTGAGAGCTCAGGAGCTGCAGCCGGTGCTCGAGGAGGTGGTGAAAGAGGCGCCGAATCTTCTTTGAAGGTTTGTGAGACTCGGAGTTCTGTCTCAGGTGCCGAAGTACCGGGTGGAGTACCTGGAGAAGGTGGTCGAAGTGCAGAGCCAAGTCCTCCCACAGGCGCGGAAGCACGCTTGAAGTCGCCTCTGCCTCTCTTTACCTTTTTTTGGAAGGACGGAGATGGAGCGGTGGAAGCTGCAAGCAAGGCCACCGCATCAGACCAGACTTGATTTGTCGAGCGTTGGTTCATCGTTTTGCCTGTTGGGGGTTGTTTCGGGATTTGGCGCTGTGTGCTTTCTGCTAAACGAACAAAGTCGTCTGCCGTGTATTCATGCCATGAAGACTCGCCAACCCGGCGTTCCAAGGCTCAGCAGGGAAAGGGAACGCGTGCGCAAAAGAGTCTTGAAGCCAACTGCACTAGGAGTTGCTGTAGATCCAGGCTCCGCTCAGAGTGGCTAAGTTCTCATTGGTAGCGACGCAGGTTACAGTACTTCTAGCAAAGCTACAGTAGTGTTCCTGATGGCTGCTCCGCTGTTTGACGATGATCTTTTCGACTTCAGCTTGGAGGCTGAGGGCGAGAACTCCGCTGAACGTGGAAGCGCCGAGAGCGCTGGCCCGGACGACAGCGCCTCCTTGGGCGCCGGCGCGGCCGACGACGTGCCCAGCCAGGGCAGTGGACGACGACGAAAACGTGGGTCACGTGGTGGTGCCCAGGCTTCCGCCGAACATCGATGGAGGTCAGGCGCTGTGCCACCGGCTCCTGAGTTTAGTGGCGACGTGGAGAGAGACCCTTACTGTTTGAGGCATTATCGCCGTAGGCTTCTTCGGTGGGTCAGGATCACCAAGGAATTCCTTCCGGCAAACGAGCAGGCCTTGCGTGCCCTGGAGAAGCTGACGGGCGAGGCTGAGCTGGAGTTTGAGGAGGTTCCTGACGACAGGTTTGACCACCCCGACGGCATTTCAAGGCTTTTGGGGGATCTCGAAAAGGCCTTCGGTGAGAGAGAGATCTTCAGACAGGGGGGTGTCATCAGGGAATTCGAGTCTATCGGCAGGATGCAAGGGGAGTCAATCACGGCGTTCATCCGCCGCTTTAGGCTTTTGGAGCGCAAACTGGCCGAGAACAAGATTCCGGAGTACCCCGAGCAGGCCAGGGTGATAAAACTTTTGGACGGGCTTCGCTTGGACGAGAAGGCTACCGCTTCCATTCTTTTGGCGGCGGGCAACAAGTACCAGATGCAGACTGTGCTCGAGGCCCTCCGCATACAGTACCCTCCGGGTATGAGTATCACCGGTTTGCCAAAGGGGTTGTCAACTCTGTCCTCCCGTTCTACGAGATCTTCCTCCTCACGTGCCTCGACCTTCAAGTCCTCCGTGACCTCGGGGAATCGGAAAAGCCAGGGACGTTTCTCTGGGTCGAAATGGACTCAGTGGCACACCGAGTGGGATGGTGGAGATGGCGAGCAAGCGCCTGAGGGCGAGGACGACTACCACGAGGAGTACCAGGACGAAGATCTCGAGAGTGCTGAGCCCAATCACGAGGACATCAACGAGGAGAACGAGGATGAAGAGCTGGTTCCGGAGTTTGCCGAGGACCAGTACGACAACGAGGAGGCTCCGGAGGATGTTTCTGCGCTTCTCGCAGCCGCCGAGGCCTTGACGGTTACCTCGAAAAAGCTTGCTGGCTTGGTGCAGAGCAGAGGCTTCTACGTCGAGGGCAAAGGTAAAGGCAAAGGCCTTCCTGTAGGGAAGGCAGGGGGCAAGAAAGGCGGCAAGGGTAAGACCAAGTCGCATCATGGACGTGGCAAGGGCAAGAGCAAGGACTTCAAAGGCAAAGGCAAAGGGGTCTCCTCTGGAAAATCCAACGGCGATCGACAGATGAGACTCAAGGGCTCTTTGTGCTTGGGCTGCGGCGCTTCGGATCATTGGATTCGAGACTGCCCGCATGTCACGCAGTTCCAGGCGCAGATGGCTTCCGCTGATATGGAGCTGGACCCAGAGGGCGCACCAGTCGCTGTCAGCTGGATGGTGACGTCGCATGCCGAAGCCGTGGAGGAAAAGGTTGAAGTCTTCAAGGTGCCACGCCCTCCAGCAATCATGCTGTCCACTTGCGAAGATGCTTCTTTTCTTATTGCCGATACCGGGTGTCAACGTCAGGTTGCAGGCAGTGTTTGGCATCGTCAGAAGTGTAACGAGATACAACCACTTGTGCCACTCCGCTTTGAAGAAGTTTGTCGTTACTCTTTCGGCCCCTCGAACGGCATGCCGAGCAAGGGAAGGTACCTCTACCCCGCGGGCATAGCTGGAGAAACAGTGTTTCTTGCCATCAGCGAGGTCGAAGCTCCAGCGCCGGGACTGCTGTCGCGAAGAACGATGGAGGCGCTCGGTGCTGTGCCGGATCTTTTGGAGGGTGAAATTTATTTCAAAGCGCTGGGAAAGTCAACATGCTTGTACTTGAGTCCATGTGGGCATCTTGCACTTAAGATTGACGAGTGGCCGAGCAGTGCTTTTGAGTGGCCCGGCCAGTACTCCTCCATGCAGTTCACTGGTCAAGGTCCCCCTGATGTGATTCATGAGCGAGCTTTTCCGCCCAGCAGAGTGAGGCTTAAGGCCATCAGCAATTCGCAGATAGCAGCCCGACCACCCCATGCCTGCACGAGATCATCCGGCATGGTTGGAGAACTGGAGGATGACCCTGGTGCACTTGCAGGAGTTCATCTACACGACCCAGATGGCGGTGCTGTACTACTCGGCGGCCACGCTCCGCCCGAAGTTGAAGGACTCGGTGTTGAAGCTCTACATGGAGCCCTGCTCGGCAGTGACGATGATGGGGACCCAGGCGGCAATGGCGGCAACGAATGCCTTGCAGCTCAATCGGTACCCGAAGAGCCCGGCAAAGTGCGACCACACCCACGGAACGGGCACGCGGACCTACGCGGCCGGAGGCATGCGGATCCGCATCTGCGATGCTTGCGGGAGCAGGTGGGTGTTGACTTTGACAGGCGAGGCTCTGGAGGCCGTTCCCAAGGCAAACCCCAACGCCAAGACAGGTCTGGGCTTGACGGACAGCCAGAAGCAAAGGCTCGCCCAGGCAAAAACAAAGGCCAAGCAGCCGAGCCCGGCCCAAAGCAGCGCTTCGGACGCATCTTGGCAGCGCTTGTCGGCCTCCTCGCAGGTGCCATCTCAGGCCAAAGCCCGTACGGGTTTGAGGCCACCGCCTCCGCCGAGACAGAGCTGGGGTCCTCAGAGTCAGAGCCCGAGTCTTTTCCGTATGAACGGACAGAGAATGCCACCTCGTCAGTGGCACTCCGCGAGGTCAGCGGCGGGATCGGACACCGATATGAGCGTCGACACCGCTGGAGGCCGTCCCCGACGAGTCCAAGGCCCTCGAGATTATCGCCCAGGCCAACCGCCAGAGGGCGAGGAGCTGACCCCGGAGGAGATCGACGCCATCTTGATGAGCCAGCGAGACGATCCGAGTCTCTGGCGCGAGAGAATGGACCGGGACGACTGGGAGCCGGACGACATGAACGAGATGTCCCCCGAGCTGAGGCGCGAGTTCGAGGAGGGCTACTACTAGGTCCCGGCGGTTTCAGAGATGATCCTCCCCCTCTGCCTGCTTATCCATGCAGCTCGGCGGACCACCCGTTGGATATCGAGGACAAAGGTTGCTTTTTGTTGAAGAACGGGGTCAAAAAGCGGCTACTGGGTTCTGCCAAAGCTGTGCTCCAAGCCTGGGAGACTGAGGCGGTCGTGTATGCGAACCGCGCCCATCTTGCCCGGAAGCTCCGCGACTACTCCGCCGACATCCTGGAGCTCGACCCGGTAGTGCCCGAGATCTCGGAGATGGCTCTGACTGCGGGCTTACGTGTGCTTGAGCCAGTGGGACTACTGGATGCGGTAGCCCAAGGCATGGATGTGCGAGTGCTAAGGAAGCTGATCAAGCGGAGGAGACCGTTTGCCGTCGTTTGCCGAGTGCCGGAACTCCTTGAACCAGGTGACCACGGGGATTACTCGGACAAGGTGTGCCAGTTGCTCCACGAGATGCTGGACCAGGGCACTCACTTTTGGATGCGTGCGAATAAGTCCGAAGAGCTTCTGTCTGGACTAAGGGCCCGCCAGCTCCAGTCAGCCCCGGGTGTACGCACAAAGGTGTGTCAACATGTTCTCTACATGACGGACCTGCCCGAGTTCTTCGAGGAGGCGGCCAAGCTCGGCAACGAGATGAGTTCCGTGTCCGAGACCAAGGTGATCATAAGTGCCCTTCAAGAGGCCCTTCAACGACGAGGTGATGAGAGGTGGAACCAGAACTGGTACGTCAACTCGGGTCTGCCAGGAGACGATGAGAATTGGATATGCGAGGCATACCACGGGAGTTCCCTGGACAACTTCGAGCTACTTTGGGAACCTCCTGGCGAACCTCGGGCGTCGGTGTTCTTCCTGGACATCAGTCGCCATGAGGACTCCTGGAAGCCTCTGCTGGAGGAGGCCGAGCAGAGACTGAAGAATCTGACTACCAACGGCGTTACTCTGAAACCCTCTCCTTACCTCGAGAGAGTGAAGTCCTTGGTCCCCTGGAAACTTCAGAGAGTTCAGATCTTCCGGGCGCCCAAACAACGAAGGCTGCCGAATGAGGTGTCTCAAGAAGGCACTCAACACCGTGGTGCAGCCCTTCTGCACAACGATGACACAGTCGTGCTGGAGGCTGAGAAGATCAGTTCCATAATACAGGCGCCAACCGGCAAGTTCGGCAAGCCCGTCAGGATCGCCATCTTCTTCTACGGCGACGCACCCGTCACCAGCTTGAATGAGCAGGATAACGAGCTCCCCGAGCAACCCAAGCCGAAGCCGGAGGCTCCTGGTGGCGATCCACAGGATCAAATGAGACCACATCAGCCTGGATACCGTGACATCTCCTTTCCAGGAGTGGAGCTGCCAGCCTGGCTAAAGCAAGTGCTTCGAAGAGCACATTGCAACTTGGGGCATCCCCCGAAAGAAACGCTTGTCAGGCACCTCGCCGCCGCGAAGGCATCGGAGCTTGCACTCTCAGGAGCTCGACATCTACGATGTGAGATTTGCTTGAGAGTAAACCCTCCAAGACAACCGAGAGTGTCCAAGGCTTTTCAAGCCAGGCGGTTCAACGACAGGCTTTCCATGGACATTATTTACCTCAAGGACGTTCGCGGGGGCACTCACATGTTTTTGAACC